CAGGAGGAGAGGAGGGCCACGGGGAAAGGGGAGGGTTGGAGGAAGGACGGAGAACTCAGGCCGAGGGCTTCACAGTGGAGGCTGGTGCGCCGCCCGGCGCTCTCCCTCCATACTCAGTGCTCAGTAATGGCCCGGGGGCGGGGCGCAGCCCTCCCCCGTTTTCAGAGGTAGCAGAGATCCTCACCCAGGAGGTGTCAGCCCAGGCCCAGCCTCCCCAGAGACAGCACCCCGGAGCCACATCTCTCTCTTCACTCTGCTTGGACCCTGCACAGGTGCCTGACGGGCGGGGTGGGAGGGGGATTTCAGTGGGTTCCCCCGAGGGGCGAGCTGGGGAGGTGGAGGTGGCAGAGGGAGAAAAGAACCAACTTTCCTCACGTCCCTAGGAGATCTCAGGGCTTCCCAGGCTGCCCTGGGTTTAGGAATTTGACATCTTTGGGAATTCATCTGGGAGAAGACCTTGATGGCTTCTGGAGCACTCTGAGAGGCTTGGGGTGAGAGGCTGTAGATGGGGACCAGGCAGAGGTCCTCCGAGGCACCTCTGAGGGGCTGAGGCAGAACCCTTTGGCAGGGGGCTGCCCCTGGAGAGCCGATAGACTCTCAGGTATATGGCACCGTCCTTCCCTACTCCCGCCCATCACTGCCCTGTCTGGCTAGCTGGGAAGATTTGGGGGAAGGTGAGGAATCGGAGACACCGGATGCCTGGATCGCTGCCAACCACGGCAGCAGGATGGAGTGGTGGGCGCAGGGCTGTTGAGGTCTTGCCTCCTTTGCCCCCCTCACTTCTCCCAGGCCCCCGGGGCAGTTAGAGATCAGCTGGAACCAGCAGGGAGAGGAAGGCATCTGGCCCCCAGTGTGGTTCCTTCAGACTGGAAATCTTAGCAGCTTGGGAAGTAGGAGGCAGGGTAGCCGTGGAACAGAAGAGGGGAGGTATCAGATCTGCTGGGGCTGGGATTCTCTCTAGTCATTGGCCCCCAAATGACCGGGGTTTGGTTTCTAGGGACTGAGTGAGGATAACAGAGACGTGTGCCTTTCTCCCCTGTTCCCATACACCTGTTTGAGTCATGTATGCCCTCAGGAGACTAATCCTCACTCTGAGCAAATCTCTCTCCCCTTTTCTTCCGTTCTGTTTCTCTATTTTACCTCTATGTGCCTCTCCCTCTTGTGGGATTCTTCTTCACCTCTCTAAATAGCTTGCTCGCTTGCCTCTCCAACACCCCAGGTGTCGCTGATCCGTGCCCATTCTTTCACTGCTTCTGTTGACACCTGGAGAGGCGGGGTGGTCTAACAAGCCTCAGAACAGGATCCCAGAAGCAAGCACCCTCTCTATCTCCGTCTCCCCGTCAAGGCATCCCTTCCCAAATGGTCCTCATATCGAATCCTTAAGCAGAAAGCTCCATATCATTCTGTGACCACTTTCCTGTGATAAGATCTTTCTGGGTAGGACCATCAGGATCACAGTAAGGAGGATGGATTAGAGTCCCTGAAGATGGCTTCAGTCCTACCTGATACATGTTGGTGGGGAGGAAGATGGCTGTGTGACCTCAAAGTGCAGGTGAAACTGGAAACTGGGAACTGTTTACTGTAAAGCAAAAGGGACACGGGGAGGCTCACTCTCCTTTCCCAGGATCTGTCCAGCTTCTGCGTCCTCTGTGATGTTCTGTTTGATCCAATTCTGACTACACCCTCCCTCCTCCCTGATCTGTATCACTAGCTGCCAGCCCGTCTTCCAGTCCCATCCTTAGAAAGGTAGGCTCCTAAGACCCAGAGGGGACTATGCCTGGTGTATAGACCACTACCAATCCCTGAGTATTTAGGGGGAAACATACTACTCCCCTTTGGCCTGGTACAAACTTGACGCGGCACCAGGGAGATGGTTGGAGCTGGTCCAGAGATTCTCATCAACTCCCTCTTCCCTGACCTCTTGCCTCCCCGAGGGACCCTTCTGGATTCTCATTTCCTTGTCTCAAAGGTGCAAGGCAGATAGAGCTTCTGGTCTTCATGAGAAGGGACTGATGTCTAGTCTCAGAGACCAGGGCAGCCTAGAATCCAGCCTTGCCTGGGTCATGGGTTTGAAGCTAAGAGAGAAGTCTGGAGATCATTTGCCAGGTTCTTTTCTGGCTTTGTGTTCTTTCCTGTAAATACATATGGCTGGACTAGTTGAGCGTTTCTCAAGGTGGGGTGGGCTTCTGGCATCAGAAACACTAGGGCACTTGTTAAAATGCTGATTGCTGGGTACCTGCACCTATGAATTCAATTCAGTAGGTCTGGGATGGCTTGCAGGAAGGAGCCTGTGTTTTCACAAGTATGATGGATGAATGCAGTGCATCGTCCAGTTTGTGACTGCCTGAACTAGATGCCAGATACTGCCTCTCATAGCAAAGAGCTTCTACGGTCCTGTTTCCATTTAATGGAAGAAACTGAATGGGGAAGTGATTTGGCCAAAGTCACATATTTGGAAGGCCATAGAACCTGGTCTCCTGCCTCCTAGGGCAGGATCTTTGAATTGCACCTAAGAGTCAGATCCAGGAAGATACAAGGAGGGAGAAGGTGGGGCGGGGGGGGGGGGGGGG